GTTGGCGAACATCAGCCAAAAACAAGTGGAATACAACTTCCAGTCCAGTAGATGTCGCTGCAAATGGTTTGACGCACGCTGCCTTGTGTCACAAGCATTTCCGGCCACCGGATGCTGCGCCGAGTCATTCAAAAACAAAACATGGAGGAGAAAATATTGCAATGCATCCCAATATTCAAGTATCGTGATGCATCGTGATAGAATCGCATCGTGGCCTGTAAATCCTGATTCGAATTGAATCGTGACTTCTTTGGCAATACCCACCCCTATTTGTAGGTGGCTTTTGACAAAAAAAAAAGCCATTTTAATTTAGCTTTAGAAGCACTGCTTGTCATCCTCCCTTACCTCCAGCACAGGCCCAGTCTGTCACTGCCCAGTATCTCCGCTTTTTCTGCATTGGTCGATTTGAAAGAAGGTACTGCAGAATCCGACCGCCATCCAGACGCAGTTCTGGATGAATCAAAGTGAACTCTTTTTCAGTGCTTCCCAGACTTTTTGAAAAATGTACGGTACTCTCAGGTGATGCAAACATTGTGAGTAGAGAACAATTTAGCAGCAGTCCATGGGGTTTAGTTTAACCTGTGCTTTTAGTCTAAAATGCAGATATTGAGTACTTTGGGAAAAAAATGACATGTGGTTGTCAGGGGTAACAGCAGGTCTGGTGACTTTTTAAATATTAATCAATCATTGCACCAATGAAATAAGGTAAACATGTCCATTGTTATATTCAATGCAATGCACAGGAAGGACGTGATGATGTACAATAACTTTATATCAGGAAAGAAGCACAGCACTAGCATCTGCTGGGTTGGTGACGTCATAAACTGAAATCAGTAGTCCTAACTGCATACATTAAGTAGAACTGAAAAAGGAGATCATTTTGATTGGATTCAGAAGTTAATGGGGGGATAGTTGACCTCTAGATGACCTAAAAAAATCTTTATTTCTGAAACTACAGCAGCATATGAGATCATTTCTTCCATTCAATTATTTCATTTTCATAAATGATCATTTTAAATGCACCAACCTGCTTTAATGAAGCTAACCATTTATTCTGTTTGCTGTTTTTCTACGTGGGTGGAGCGTTAGCTTGACGCAACTAAAGCTCCTCCATTTTGATGACGCGGTCCAGGGTGTAAACAAGGTGCATCTGTGATGTAGCCTTAGACTTAGACCTAGACAGCTTTATTTAGTCATTTTCTATGAATAAGTGTAAACAAAATTTAGTTTAGAACAGTTCTAGAGAATTTCAGTTTTTAAAGTGCAGCCTTGATAAGGTCAGCAGCAGTTGTTGTTGAGCTGCTGCTAC